CATATCTCTGGGCTGGACCAAAGCGTCTTCGTGGAGACTAAACAAAAGCTCAAATGGCAGCAACGGGTTAGCAGTACATCAGTTAGACCATTCTGCTGTATTGCACATAGTGGAGACTGAAGTACTAAAATAAAGCATTAGATTTGCCCAAGAACAGTTGCAATACACCAGGTCAAGGGTTCTCTAAGTTCAAAATGACAATCTCGGAAAGAATTAATTAAAAATGCATTTCTAAAGTTGCCTGAAGCAGATAAAAAATAAACAAACAAAACACCCTATCTTGTGGGCTGTTCCTACTTCAAGGATCAGAAGCACCTTGTTCAACACTGTATGTCATGTTACAGAGCTAGAGAACGTCAATGATTTTTCTTCCAAAAGAGACACAGAGGGAGATTACTGATTTTCTCAAGCAAGTCTGCCTGCCAGCAGCTACTGTCAGAAAAAGGACTTAAAAGGGGAACGTAAGAACACCTCAATGTAACATAACAGATGAAGAAAACAGTGCCAGGTAAAGGCACTGCACAGCAGCTAAGAAACGTGTGCTCACTACAGCTGTGGCCCTCATATGTAACCCAATGCAGTCACCATCTGATGTGGAGTGCAGAAGCCCTCTTGCAAAGAACTAGATTAAGACTGTGTCTATGTCTGCAGTGCAATTTGTTGATACCACTGAGATGATCTGCCAAGCAAATTAATAATAAAGAACTTTTAAAACTAGTTTCTGATGATGGATTTGTAAACCAAACAGCTAACAGAACAAAAACAAACAACAAAAATCCCCCCAAAAATCCACCTCAAAGCAAAAGGAATTCAGCAGCAGCACATTACTGTGTGGGAGGAATTCAAGTACACATTGCTTGCATCCCAGATGAACATTTTGTACTGGGTTGTTCAAAATCCCAGTTTCTGGAAGATCCATTTTCTAAAACATCAATTTTTCAGAAGAGAGAGAGGAAAGAGTTAAAAAAAAAAAAAAAAAAATTATAAGGCACTAAAAAGCACTGATTCTCTGAAGAATTTTACAAGCTGCCACTGCAAATCCAGCAAAAAAAAATCATTTTAAGAAAAGGGGCATACAGAAAAAAGGCACAGAAGATGCCACATAAACACTTACTCTATCAAATAGCACCAGAAGTTAAGATGGAGGAATAGGAGCAGATGATTTTTCTCAAGCATTAACCACCTTGTTCTAAACTCATTTTCCTATGGCCATGAATCTCTGGTCATGCAAGTTTTGCACCCACGGTTGCCCAAGTTTTACTGAGCTTTTAAGTATTTGCATTAATTCAAGAGATGAAAAAAATCACTAGAAACAGATCACTGAAGATGGTGGACTTTGTCCTCAAAAGATTATCTCCCTCTCCGCCCTTTTCTCCTTTTCTGTTTCCCAGAAACAGACTTTTTCAAAGTTGACTAGCAATTCTCTATTCTAAGATCTGGTAGAATATACCAATATAGAGCTGAGTATTTCTCTTCAAACTATGATTTATGTGGCATATTACACTACCCGACAGCAATCACTATAGGAAATTAAGATTTGTCTAGTTAGAACTCTTAGTGACCTTTAGATATTTTCAAAATCGGGACAGAAAAGAATTTATGCCCCAGTCTTCTGCTTTATTGTTCCATGCTAAAAAAAATCTCAGTCAGTAACAAGTTTTGAAAAAGGGGGACCTCTGGGGCTAAGGTACCCCGAGTCACCTGATCTGATCCTCCACCTAAATGAGTGCTACTACAGCCAGGTGTTTTTAGAAAACGTTGTAAGTTCTCAGTATTCAAATTCGGGTTGCCAACAGAAGATGAATTACTGTCAAAAGTCTTTCTCAACATTGTTTCATTTCCCTTTCTAAAGTAAGGGAAATAATGAGTAATTGTCCAGATCTGTAACCAACATGAATTTCAGTAAATCATCTTTGTAGTCCTGCTAACTCTTTCATACTTTTTGTCTTTGCTTTGGAAAAACAAAGCATAAATTTATTGCCCACTGAACAGTTATTTAACCAAAACACAGGCAGATAGTCATCAGCACTACAGATTATCCTAACTTACCTTTAACTCCCTCCCACCACTTTTTTTCCCCAGAGATTTCTCAAATCTCAAATAATTAAACATTTTCACTTTAATTCACATAGATACAAAGGGTCTTTTAAAATCAAAATAACAGTTTATCTACTAAGTCACACAAAGGCAGTGAGAGTTCATTTAGGCCTAAAGTAGTCAGGCGGTAGTCATCCTCCTTGTGTTCCAGCTTTGATCACATTTAACCTGCTCAGAAAATATGTATGACTCTTCCAACTTCATCTACCAAAATCCAGAATGGACCCACACATTTTATCACTTACTTATATGAAACATCATTTAAAAGATCACTTCATACCCACATTAAACCAAAGATCAAGCTGATAACTAAGCTAAACAGATTAACATATTAACAAAAATCAAAGCAATTAATACTGCATGTAAGTAGACCTATTGAGATAAAAATATAAAAATGGTGTAACCAGACATCCAGAAGATGATAAAGATACTGCAAATGAAATAAGATAGTAAAAGGCAAATTTGGAGGTGGGAGAAGAAAGGGATTGAGGGTAGACTGAAAGACTCTTGAAAAAATAACAACACTGAAGTGAAACAAACAGAAGAATGAGAATGCTGTAGAAGTCTTAATACAAAGTCTGTTAGACGTATTTTTTTTTTTGAGATGAATAACTTATTTTAATGCCATCTGCAAAGATATTCTACACTCCTATTAGACAGGAAGTCAGCTGAGATGCATGAAAGCATATAAGGGTAAAAGTCCTTTTTGTTTTTCTTCTCCAAATTTCCCTGCAATTCAGTTGCAAGTTACAGAAAGACTGAACTTGTTTGTTAGTATTAACAGGATTGTTTGATTAAAATTTAGTCTTACTCTCAAGGTAAACTAACATACAAAAAAAAGAGACTAGTAATTTCCAGCTTCTACATCTTTTATGTAATCCTATCCTAACGTTAGATCAGCCAAATTGTCTTCATACAGTATTATTTTAATTATTGTTTGAATACTGGTAAGTATTTCTTGCCTACCTGCCCTCTGACTGTGGGTTATCCTGCATTAAATTCATTTTCATTCTACTACGCGACTCCGCTATTTCCTCCCTTTGTACACAAATATTAGTGGGTACTGACTTCATTTTAAAGATACACAACAAAGGCAAAAGAACAGACTACTTCGCTTGTACAAAACAATTTCAGTTTTACATAAATGGTAGTATAAAATGTTTAACCACAGTTTCTAAGAAAATGTATGTTTTAGGTCACTTGAAGCAGAAGTATTTGGGTTTGCAATTCTGTGTTATACACACTTCCACATAACCATGGCAGATGCAGAAGAAGGCTTGGCAGTGCATTTTGGTATTCTTCATATTCCTGCTTCAGTAGCTGCACAGTACAAATCAACACGCTTCTGCTTTCCTAGAAAGCACATGCATTTGCTTTCTTTCACTCAAAGAGTATTTAGCAAAAGCAGTTTCCCATCTCTAGGCTAGTGAACAGTCAATTAGTCTGCAATATTGTTATTAAAGAGTTTGCTCTTTAAAAAGCATCAGCTAAAGCAGAGATAATGAAAACACCAACCTGTTTCCCAGGCAGTATACCTAATTACAAAACTATTTGAAACTTATAAATCTATGATAAGGAATTTTCAATGACAAAAATTCTAAATATATATTTTAAATAAAATATATTTAAAATTTGAAGCTAGCATAATTCTCACATGTAAGGTAATCTGAGACCAAAAAGTTGCCCCTAAAAAAGACTATTTTAAAATGTCTTTGAACAAATAACGTGGAAGGTCTCAGAAAATATCACAGAAAATCTCTAAGAATTCTAAATGTATACAAAAGTGATGTTCTTCAAGCAATTATAAGCATATACTACTTTTAACCTAAAAATACCTGGTTTCAGAAAACATAATCCAAACAGCAGGTTACTAGACTAAATGCCACTTGCATAAGCATACCTTGTCCATGACAGAAATTGTGTAAGCAGCAGGATGGGCCTGGGAGGGAGGGTGAAGGAGAAGGGAGAAAGGAAATCATATTTTTCTGGATAAAGTGCAAATGCTATAGTCTTTTTCATCCATCTTGCATAGTTGTGTAATTTTATTTATACATGCTAACCAACAAGCATGAAACACAAAAAGCTATACGAAGTCTATGTAATTATATGGGCAAATGTTACTTCTCAGTAAATACATCCGTTCTGATGTAATAAATGTAGTTCGGAACATGAATTGTAAGTATTCTGCCAGTAGAATGAATTGTCTACATGTACAGTAGATGAATTGTCTACAGAGATTACAGTATGAAAGGTCTACTATGTATAACTGGGTCATTCTAATCATAAGTTTAGTGTCTTAATTATAGTGGCATATATGGAAATTGTAGTAAAGTGCAGATAAATTCTCAGATTTTGAGAGCAAACATTAAATTGGTAATTAGGTTTTCTCCTTAAAAGAAATACTTGAAATGTTTAGCTTTTTGACAGGGATGGCAAATACAAAACGTGGAGGATAATAAGGGAAAAAATGAACAGACTTCTGTGATGGACATGAAAGCAGAATGGATAAGAGTCAGAGGAAGCAACATTACATGATCAAGAATCTTGAAGGATTTATTTTAAATGATTAGAGAAGAAAGAAGAATAGAATCAGAATCAGAGTTTAGGGGAAAAGCAGAAAGGACAGGCACCTCTGATGCTTATCCAAGTTCTCTTTTTTTTCTTGTTGCTTTTAAGGGACCTCCTGAAAGTGAACATAGATGGGAAAGAAGCATTTTCTCCCCTAAAGCCATCTGTTTTGAGACTGTAAAGAAATTTGTGATTAATTACGACATGTTCTTATTACATGGAAGATTTCTGCTTCAACTCTTGCCTCGTGCCTGTAAGACTATTCCTTTTTCCTCCCACAAGCACAGTAACATAATACAATTCAGTGCACTCTGCCTGTTAAGGCCAGTACAGCTCTAAGCAGGTCCTGCTGCCCTGCTGTTCTCTGCTGAAACTGCCTCTCTCTCCACTTCTTTGTGCTTCCTCTCTTCCACTGCTCTGACTAACCACTGCTGAAAATGCTGAACCCTTGTCATTCCATTTATTTCTCCTCCTGGAAATAACTACAATTTAAAAGAATATACAATTTCCCTGCTTCAGAAAATAACATTTCTTATCTCCTTTAAAATGATGCCCCCAAATTCGACCAATTAATTTGGAATGCGAATAGTTTAGAGGAAACTAGGGTTATCTATTTTAGAAAACCCCTCTGCTGCTTATAACAGTCTTTCAAATCTGTACTTTCAGAGTTCGATCTTGTCATATCTAATGGTAAAGCCAAAAAATACGTAGTTTGAAAATCTCTCAAAATTCTGGGCAACCTACTTTGACTCTCTGAAATCTCGAAAGCATATTTAGATATAAATCTGTACCTTACAAATAATTAACAATAAACTTCAAAAGTCAGAGATCTCTATGTTTCTGCTATGTGGTGCTATGCCATGAGAGATAAGCTTTTATGCTAAAAGCTGGCAATTAAGCTTATCAAAAGTGACACTAAGACATGAGAAAAAGACAAGATAATAATACAATAATTATTATTAGCACAAATAATAGTCATAGCACACCATTTGCCTAGTCACTGCAAAGCATTAGCACAGTCAAGCATTTTAAAAAGGCAAGTGAAATGGCAACATAAGTGGCTTTTCAGACTTTTAGGGATCTGTTTTGCACAAAGAGGGCAGCAGGAGCAAATATGAAGGTATTTCAGGGAAAACTAGGACAAAGATGTCTGACAACACTGCTAAACCAAGACCAATGACTTGAAAGCTCCAAAACCAATAAACAAAGGATGGCTGTAATACTTAAAAACAAAGACTAGCAGCTTTTATTCTACAAGGTTAAAGTCTAAAAGGCAGTTTTTATCCTCTCGAATATATGATTTCAGTAAGACAGAATTTGGTTCTGTGGTCTTGTTGGATTCCGTCTACAATTCAAATACTCACCTCATCATTAAGAAACTCCTTACTCAGACCAAAGTCTGTCAGCACCACATGGCCATCAGAATCGAGGAGAATATTCTCAAGTTTTATATCACGATATATAATTCCCAACTGCAAATAGATAGAAAAGCAATATTTTCAAATCAGTGTTACCACACCAAGAAGACATTGTTGAAGGCATCTAAATTTTAAGCTAGCAAAATTTCCAAATTTAAGGTAATCTGGGACAAAAAAAGGGGACTATTATTTTAAAATATCTTTCAACAAATAATTTGTAAGGTCTCAGAAAATACATTAATGATTAAAGTCTTGAAATTGAAAGACATGTTATATGTTTCACACCAAAACTGACTGAATACTTCGAGTGCAAAACCGAATTCAGTTTCATTAAGAATTAAGATGCATCCTTTTATTACACGTTCCCAGGCATACAATTTCTTTGGCATTGTCATGCATTAATTGTAGCATCTTCACGTTACAGTTATAAATCTGCAGTCTTATTCTGGTGCACAGGAAGAGATATTTCAAGGGGAAATATCTCCTACCAGTAGAAAAATTTACATTTGAATTTCAAGGAGTGAAGAAAAAGAAAAAAAAAAAAACAGTCCTCCTCACTAATTTTATACAATGTAAAAAGAACACTGATGGTATATAACATTGATGATATTTCCAGGAAAAGAGCACTGTGATAAAATTATTTTACCTTATGTAGATGTTCAAGCGCCAAAACAATTTCTCCAATGTAAATCTGCACCTCATTTTCTGAGAACCTCTCTCTTTGCGAAAGGTGAGTAAACAATTCGCCTCCGTTTATGTAGTCTAAAAGTAGAAGAAAACAATAATTTCACTTTCGGATCACTTTTCTTATTGAAATATTAATGTTAGTGAAATATTAGTAAGTATTATAGGCTATTAAATAGGATGTTCTAGGATCAGATACTTTTATATTACTGTTTTCAATAACATTTCATAAATGTTGTATACTACTAAATTTCCTTCTCAGAGGACTGATGGAATAACATTACCAACTTTCAAAGAATTAAGGAAATCATAAAAGGAATTTCAGACATCGATAAACTAGAAGATATATATTTCTTAAAATAAGTCTTTTAGTTACTAAGAGAAAAAGAAAGGAAGAGAACTGACTAATTCATCTGCAAACACAGCATTTGTACACCCTTATGAAATATTTAAGAGCAGCAAGCCAGACTGACTAGAAAAGACAATTCAGAACCAGCTATTAGACAAAATTAAAAATAAGCAACTATGGGCAATTAGAAATGTTCCCTTTGTAAGAGGAACTTTGATGGTAAAACTTAATGTGTGTGCAAACAGTCTCCAGTCCAGCAGTCCCACAGAGAAACCGTACTCCCATTCTTTACAAGATATAGCACAGAAAAGAAAAATTCACAAGAAAAACACGTAGAAATTTCTATTATTTTTCAGTTGAAAATTATGATGTTATAGCCAACATATAATGAAATAGGCATGTGTTAAAGTCAATTTCAGGAATAATTTAACTGAACTTGGTAAATAACTTCTATAGCCAGTATCACAGAATTCTACTCTCAAGATGGTTTCATTGAAAGAAAAAGTATTTCTTTTTAAGGTTGTTCCTTTGCATAAACCATTCCACATTATTTCAAGACTCAACCGCAACCTTATAAATCTGGAGTGGTACCAAGTTCCAGCAAACAACTCTGCAGGGAAGCAGAGATGATCTTGGACAGCCTTCTAACACCTAAAACTTAGAGGATGCAGGCTTCTCAATAACTCAAAGGCCGCATGATTTCATAACCAAAGGCTTCGGCAGAAAAGGCTTCCGAAGGTAGCAAGAACTGTCTTGAATATTCTTTCCAGTTCCTGGAACACATGCTTCACAGATCAGAAGAACCCTCCTCCTTCCCCAAAAAGCCAGGACTGTCTTTATAAGCATTGATGCTAAGGAATACAGCAGCATCAGCAACAACAAAAAGGAGTGTAATACTACAATCTCGGACTCTTTTCCTAAAAATTTGCTGCCCTGGAAAAGAAGAGTGGTGAGGAGACAGACATGCACATATAGAAGTTATATCTGAGCTGAATACTCTCCAGTTCCTGAGCAGTCTTTTGCAACACTTGCCAGTGCTACAGAAACCAATGTGGTTCTTCACACCCAAACAGCAAGCAAAATGGCAAGGATAGCAATGAAGTGAAGAATGTTCCAGAAAGCCTCACCATATAATAAGTTAATCAAGAAGCGCATCTCTCAAATCGAGATATGCAAAATCTACCAAAACATGGAAGAAAAAAAAAAAAAAAAAAAAAAACCACCTATACCACAATGTATAGTCCATTAACGAAGTCTTCACAAAACAAGAAATACTTGTCACCAGCATTTTACAGCAGGAAACTGTATAAACAGTTTGTAGTTCCTAATGTTGTAAGGATTGTTTTCTAGCAATAAATAAGAGCATAATAATCTTTAACTGGCATTTCCTACCCTGTTACTACCACATCTGTTTACCAAAAAAGGCAGGGCTGATGAGATCTTTGTTGGCTGCAATTCAGTGCCACTAAAACAACGTACAAATATCTGGTCAGAATAACAGCAGGTAGGCCTGTTCTTTCAGAAACGTAACGCTTCAAAACCACTAATCAGGAGAATTTTTAATATGTTTTTTAGAGTGAAATGTGCAGCGTATTTGAACCAGGAGGCTTTCTGCAGTTTAAAAACTCCCTGACTTAATCTTTTCTCTTACCAGTAACTAAGAGATGTTTTGTCATGCCACCTTACCCATAACCTCTGTCACACAACAAAGCGAGCAGACAGAAAACAAATCAAATTTTTATGCCCGTATTTATATTGACTAAAATGCAACTAAAATTGGTAGCAATTGCCTGAAATTCTGCAGAAAACTAATGCAATATAATCACTGTTAAATTTGAAAAAGTAATTGGAAATTTCATCTTCTAGTTAGGTTCAAGAAGTTTTATTTTAGTAGTTTTCCCTCTCTGCTTTAGGTTCTTATGACAATATACATTTTTGCTGGATGCAAGTCATGGACATGGGGGGACATTCCTCACCCCCACTTTAGAACAGTGCACTGAAGTTCAAACAGGAAAACCACACACAGCTCTATTGAAGAACAGTATTTTACTTCCTATACTTTCCTATACAATCTCCAAATGCACTGTACTTAAGAGAAAAAAAAAACATGAAGATAAAAGGGGTTGTTATTGTGCGAGGGTTTTTTTAATTTGCATTAACATAAGATTTGAATCCTGGAAAGCACTCACCTAATATGAGATGAAGCTTTGTATCCGTCTGAAAGGCATAATGCAACGTGACCAGAAATGGTGATTGCCTAATGTGCTCCAATACTTGTCGCTCTGTCCTTGTGTGCTCAGTTGTTTTGGCTTTTTGAACTATTGTTGCTTTCTTCAAAACTTTCATGGCATACAGCTTTCCAGCATCATGGCCACTTACTTTCCTTACTAGGAACACTTTTCCATAGGCTTTAAAAGAAAATGTTGGGAGAAAAATGGTCACACTCTCATACCACAGGTCTAGTTAGTATCACATCACTTCCAATTTTAACATTACACCGTGTTTCTTATTTGGTCTTTTTTTTTCCCCTGACTACTCATTATGGTACCAAACAGCATTACAGCAAAGATTAAAAAGAGATTATTATTTTTTACTTTATAATAATATAACATACTCAAAATTTAAGGTTTAGCAGGAGTTTGGAGTCAGAGAGACTTTCTGTCCCCCCAGAAGTCAGTCCATATTTGGGCAACTTGCACACTGTCAGCAATAGCTTTGTAGCAGAGGTTACAAAACCGCTTATAAGTAAGTCAGTGATTTCTTCCTATCAATATTAAGTATATAGGAACTTTATAGGGTTCCTACACAGGACTTAAAGCAGAATAAATTGGAGAAACTCTCAATAGAAAATAATAATAAAAAAAAGGCAAGAGAAACATTCAGTAGGATTAAAAGGTAATAATTTAATTAATTCAAGAGTTTTGACAAATAGAATCATCTAAGTACTATAAAGATCCTCTATACTCAAGGAATAAAAAGTAGCATAATAAGAAATGTGACTTTTTAAAAAAAAAAATTAAAAAGGCCTTTTGGGAACTATCACTGAATTTGACCTCTGCACTAGACAAACCTGCAGGAAGAATAAAGATTAGAATTAGTAGATGTATAAACAGTATACAATGTGAAAAAATCAATGTTAGCTCTGTAGATGGAAATAATTATTTCTATTAATATTTGCTCAAAGGAGTCATGAGGAAGGAAGAAAAATGATCTGCTTGACTTATACAGATCTCCAAAACATTTTTACAAGTTTTATAACAACAGGGTCTTAAAAGCATCAAACAATCACAGGTTCAAAGAGAAGGTCCTCTCATGGAATCAACAGACAGACAACAGACGTTTCATTTCTTTTCCAATGACAACAGGTCACTGCAAACATTTACCCTGCCTGATTCAGTTATATATCAGCCGAGAAGCTGATTTTCTCAGGTTAGTGAATTATGCACTCCAACAAAAGTCAAAGTTGACTTCAAAGCTGCAGAACAACATCATGATATTAAGTAGTTGAATAATGAAATGGAGATAAAATTCCAAGTTGGTAAACAAGCAATTCCTTTTAAAAAAATAGTTGTGCAAATAGTTACAACTGAAAGCACATATGTAACTGGAATTACTACTGACAAACAGATAAAAAAAACACTCCTTAATGGTCAAAATAGGCAGAAAACAACAGAATGTTAGAACCACAAAGAAATTAAATAATAGGAAATAACTTATTTCACTAACTCACTAAAAATTCCAGCCAAAAGTATTTAACATGAGCTCCTTTAAGTACCCAGGAAAGAGTAGTTTTTAATCAGAAACACTGGGGAACATTTCAAGCTAGGTTAATTGAAACGAACAAAAGGCCCTAGTTTTAACACTTTGCTACCTGTACCTTTGACCATCCTTTATAAAAGCATTTAATAATCCCTCTTAAATGGCAGAATCCTACAAACACATTAAACAGGATCAATTATAGCTTTAAATATAGCATAAAAACAAATTATAATTATATGAATTTTATGCAAATATCTAGAAGCTAGACTAACATGATCTTAAAAGGATTTTGATATAGAGCTTTACCATCACACAAATCGTTTTCTTCATAAAATTGAGAAGAGCTGACAGAATGATGAAGACTCTCAGCAGTTTTGATGAGAATAAATTTTAAGAGCACTATTTTAATCAAATGACTCATGACATATTCAGCATCAGAATCTCTGAGACCACTACAAGATATTTACTTAAGAGAAAACTGCAACAGCAATCAATTTGAAGGGCCAAAAGCAGAAGGAGCAGAAGATAATTTCAAGAACACCTTTATGACAATCTTATCCCAGGAAAATTTTGGCACTTCAAAATAAGAATAAATACAACTAAACCTTCACTGCTGCTGCTTCACTGCTGAAAATATACCAAGTTTATAAAGAGCCATCACAATTATGTATTTTAAGCAAGACAGCATTGAATTATTTTTATTCTGAGGATCTTCTTTAGTTTATCCAATTGGCTCACAGCAGGCCATATTAAAAATATTGCCATTAGTTAGAATACTACCTATATCCATCAAGTAATTTGTCTGGAAGATTCAATATATTCTGCTTCCCATTGCTGAAGATCACTCAAGTGCCAAATAACGTGAAAACACTTTGGAGAATCTCTGCATAACTCCACAGAGGCAAATTAAAAAAAAAAAAATGCTTTTAATTATATTCAGCAGTAATATCTAGAAGCTCACATCAGGATAAGCCTCTTCCATTTCTTACCTAAAAATGCAACAAGTATTACTCACTATAAAAGCTATCAGATGCCCTCATTCATTTTTCTTTCAATCACTCCAAACCATGGGAGAGTTGTCATTTTTGTCCCTATGAACCTCTTGGTCTAAGATGACCTCAACCACCCCATCCCCAGCCTTCGGTTACACAGAAGTCAAAGTGCACTCCAGTACAGTAGTACATTGGAACAAGAAAAGAACAGAGCTGTTCCCAAGATGGCCAGAAAAAAAAAAAATGTTTTCTGCTCTTTCATCATCATCATCATCTTGACCATAATTTTAAGACAAGTCACTAAAGGAAAAAACAAGGGTTGTTTGGACTGGTCTTTGAGTTCCAGGAACTCAAAAAAAAAAAAAAAAAAAAAGCCTTTGAAAGACTTTACTATTTCAAATTTCAGAGATAATGGACATTACCTGCCATTTTTCTGGATGAAGGGCATCTAGTAAAGCACGTGTAATTTGCATCCCAGTAAAGGACTGGGAAGGCCATAGCAGTCATCCTCTCTTCTCCAGTTTGCCTTCAAGTATGAGAGCAAGAAGTTACGGGCCTAAACAGGATCCCCAAAACTCAGGGCAGAACACAGTTCAGATACTGTAGCAAAGTTTGCATGCAAGCAGGTGGTTAAATTTGGTTAAATTCTTGTGGAGGTTTGGAAAAAAAAAATTAAATCTCTGCTACATATAATACGATAGCTAAATTGAGTAACTGAATGCACAGGTCCAAATTTTCCCAACTGCAGCAGATATTTTAAGGATTATTGCATTTCCTTAAGTTGTCTTTCCATATCTAAGATATAAGCACTATACAATAATTCTTATTCCTAAAAAACAGATACAAAAAGCCTTTCTTATATCATTAGATAAATCACAGGAGTCAATTTGTAGCTCTGTCTGGTTTTGTAACCATAAGCCGTAACTTCTTATTTTACAGGTGAGCATTTCAAGATAATCTTAGACTAACTGGCCGTTACAAGCACTTGTCTGATATCATTTCTGTTTTGCTTTGTTGATTCAATGAAAAGAACACAGAAATTCTGACCATAACAATTATAAACACTTTTATGTTTCAACTTATCCCTAGCTGCATCAAGATTCTATTGATATCTGCATAAGAAACATCTAACAGATGGTATAATATAATATGGTACTCTTAAAAATCCATTGCAAGGATGAGAGAAGATTTTTGGTTAGTGCAATCCCCAGAACGTTTCTCAAACGAGGAAGTGAAACCCCCTCAGCGAGGCTGCCTAGGAAGGTTGCAGAGTCTCTGCTGCTGGAGGCCTGCAGGAACAAATCTCTGTCCTTTGCCAGGACAGGGCAGCAATCACTGATTTTGCGGTGGGAGAAGGAACTAGAGGACTTCCTTAAGTCTGTTGTAATCCTCTTCTCAGCGATTTTGTGTCACGACAGAAGGGACAGGAATTTCAGATGGTCACTTCCTGAAGAGTGAACAGAACTAGCTCCCTTTTCATCAGATGAAGTGCATTTAATGCTGGCCAATACTTGGCAAGCAAACTCCTCTGAGGCACCCAGTGCATAGCTCTCAGCTCTAATACACTGAGTGTAGAGGGAATAAAGTTTCACGAGTGCCTTGCTGGTCTAGCCTATAGATTCCCTATGCAAAAAGCAAGCTATGATTCAAACTATTTACTACAGAAATGCAAATAACACTGTTGACAGAAGCACCATTCTTTCCACAAATGCCATTTCAGGATACCTAAGGTCTCCCTGGATTCTTAAACTGGCAGGAATCTTTTAATCAGCTCTTAAACTAGCTTGAATACACTGAGTCAGACGTTCCTGAAGTAATCTAACCATCAGAGCAGGATGAAGAGAAACAGGCTTTTTTTTTTTTTTTTCCCCCTCTCAGCACTTCACACAAACACACAATGTCAATCTTGCTGTCAATTTGTTGAAGCAGACTGGTCTCAGAGGATTCTTCATAATAATTACCCTGCTGTCCTATCAGCATAGGGTAATATCCTATCCTATGATAGGGGTATGAACCTAAGGACTACCTGATATGATTAAGAGTATAGCAGGCCAAGAAAAGCTGGCTAATCACGTCATGAAGGTGAGACAGCATAGAAGGTAGCAATGAGTAACAGACACAAATTCAACCTCAGCAAAAGCGCTATTTCAGAGGTACTGCCTAAAGAAGGTAGGAGGAGGTCAGGCTACTACCAGTCTAAACTTGAAGACCGACACTTATGAAACTACCAAATTCACCTTTTATTCCAAATGTAGCAAGGAAAAAAAAGAAGATAGAGGTATGGAACTACTTGGGACCAGTCTTCACTTTTCATTAAAAAAAAAAAAAAAAAAATCACCCAATGTTTCCATCAGCAAGAGAGAAAGCAGAAATGCCTACAATAAATGTATAATTACAAGTAAAAAGAAAAAAAAAATGCTGACCTCAGACCAGTTATAACGAACCTCTTCAGAAGAGCAGAATTACTTAAACCTATGAATATGCAACATGCATATCTGAGTACTACAGTTTCCTTGACCCTACCTACAGAAATTAGACAGAATTGACTTGTTAAGTTTTTTAGACTCAAATTAAAAATTTACTTCAGAAACATAAAAACGTAATCCTCTGGGATTTAACAGTATAATGAAATTACAAAAGAATCCACATGACACTTAATTGCAGAGATCAAAAACCTTTGTTTTTTTGTTCCTTATGCAATAGTTTGTGGAACTATAGTTTCATTGCTAGCAGTTGATGATCAGTAACATTCACACTTCTAAAAATCAAAATCTGTAACTTTTATAGACCTCGATACTGTCTATTCAACATCGAATCTGTCAGTACCGACAAAAAGTGTCAGCATCCTGAGAACACACAGGCATATTAGTGGGGTGTGTGTGTGTATATATATGAATAAAATATATGCATATTTTAATTAAGTATACACACAGCATGCATGTGTATCCACAAACACACATACACTTAATAAAAGGGAAATAAACCATTAGAATTATCAACAGGGGTCCTAAAACATCCCCTGAAACTCTAGCATCATGTGGAATCCACAAAATAATGCATATTTTCCATCTTAAAAATTACTGGTGTTTGAAAATGATGAAAACACACCACAATCATCCTATTTCATAAGGTACCGACACACCTGTCCTTTCAGAAATTCCTCAAAATAGTTGGCAGAACTTAATGAACTTTCTAAGCTCATGCTTTAAATCATATTTTTCCATAAACTACATTAAATGTTCAAAAAACAAGCCATGAATATGATATATCTTCCTAAAGAACTTTCCAATACAAAACAAGTTCAGCTGGAAAATAAAAGTGTACTTAAGAGTATTGCTTCCAATACTCGACTTAGAAAAATAGTGCGTCTTACCTCCTGTTCCAAGAACTTTCAAGAGTTCAAAGTTTTCAATGCCAACTTTCTCTGCATGGCCTGTCAGATTTGCTGAAGAAAGAAAGAAAAATACATCAGATATGTAACACACAACCATCGTTTTGGCATATTACTACAATTTCAATAAAAGTTAGTAGCTAAAATAAATATGTGGCATTAAGCGACACATCAGCACCATACTGTACTATTTTAACTTCAAAAGTGAAGGAGTGCATTTTTTCCTGCAGCTATTGGCGTTTGCAGAGGCACAGAATCACAGCATTGTAATTTAGGTTGAAAGGCACCTCCAGAGGTCATTTAGTCCAAATCCCTGCTCAAAACAAGTCTAATTAGATCATACTGCTCACGGCTTTGTCCTGACAAGTCTTAACTCTATGGACACAGATTCCACAACCTCTCAGGACAATCTATTCTGCATTTAACCACCCTCATGATAATTTTTTTTCCCCTTAATATGGTCTAACTGAAGACCATGTTTCAACTTGGGTATGCTATCTCTCATCCTATCACCATGAGCCTATGAGAAGAATTTTGCTCCATCTTCTATGGGTCCCTTGATCAAGCAGTTGCAAGCAATAAGGTCTCCATATAGCCCCAACATCCCTCAGGATGCTGAATGAAATGGTAATTGGGATGAGATAAGCACAGAATTATTAAAGCTAGAAAGAGTCACCTCTATTACCGAAAGACCCCAAATCTACATGGATAACCTCTCTGGAAAAGACTAGGCTGCTACAAAGTTATTTCTGCATTTTCTGGGGAGCTTGAAAGAAGCTTGAGGGATTCTTTTCTGTATCTATCCTATTTTGAGTACTTTTTGTCTAATAGTAATTTTTTCTAAGCAGGGAAGTGAAGACCCCTGGTTTTTTTTCCCCACTAAGATGATAAAAGAAAGTCTTAAGCAACTCTCCTTTTCCAACCTTTATTCCTACCATACTATCATTCACTCATTTGTATCAACACAATTGTAGGCCAAGCAGCAAAAGTTGCCCAGGGAAATAGTCCACATTAAAAGCAGTAGTGAAACAAAATACACTTGATAATTTTTTAGGCAAGGTTAGTTCCCTGATACACTGAAACGGTAAGCTGTTGCAGTTATTCTAGCTAAATTAAGGGTTAGGAACAATCAGTAGAAGCTATGTAAGGTGGTATGACTACTAAAAAAAAGAAAGAAAGAAAAAAAAAACCTCTTAACAGTAACTTTGAGTCAAGCTACATGTATCAAGGCTAGTAAAAAGAAAATGAGGCTTAGAAAAGACATGCAAGAAGCTTTCAGCATCAGCAACACAGAATTCAAGTACAAAGATCTCTTAACCCTAAAGGGAAATTCTTTCATAGGCAATGTTGGAATTAATTTTCTCAGTTCACCAGAAATTCTAATTTGGTTTGATAATTCTAATAAACTCCATCAAGGTACATGAATTCTATATTCATTATCAGAATTTACAGTTAATCTCCACAGCATTGTAGTAACTCAACAAGTCAAAACAAAGAACTGCAAGCTTCAAAAAGACTTCCCATTGCCTCTACATAAGAGGGGCAAGCCTCAGAAATTCTGACAGTAAATAAGTGAGAAAGCACATTCTAGACTCATTCCAACAATCCTAGGAATCTGCACACATGCACAGAATGTATCGAGAAGCAATAGATTAATATTAGTGCTCTCATACAAGGCATTGATGAAATCTCATTTAAAATGCCAATTCTTATCATCCTCTTTACAAGAGATTGCATCAAATTTGGAATAGGTGAAGAGATTAGTTGGCATCACTGGGAGATAAGAGAGCCCAGAAGAGCTTTTAGAATTTTCTCTTAAAGGAATATAACAGTATTCAACTGACAGTGATTTTTGCAAATCTAAGGGAATTTGCAAGCTTTCCTAGTGTCATGTGTAATCAAAAAATACACAGCACAGTGAAATTATTAGAACTCATCAGAAAAGTAATGTTTCTCCATTTTAAAAACATACAATAGACAAGACTTCAGGACCAAAATTGTTAATAAATTAATGATGCATATGCTCTGCACCAGTTGACCTGAAGTTTGCTGCACTGTTTTCACACACATCCAATTACAACAAATACTATTGCTAGTGCCACATCACAGCTACTGCTGAAGTCAACAAAATGAAAATGTATGCATCTGCCAAGAGATCATTAATAGTAGGTAAGACAGAAATAAACAGAGTTAATGCCTAAAGAATCATAGTAAGTCACTCAGAGAATAGTCTGTTTTCAGGCAACTGAGTATTACATATTACTTTCTTCTTAATGAGAGCTAAGTAGAGCACTCAACGCAAGCAATTTCAAAATGGAATCTTTCCTGCCAGGAACAGCAAGGATCAGGGCTATTCTAAGGAGGCCAGTGCTACAGCATCCACAATTTTTCAGCAGCGGATGCAGCTGAAAAGATCCAGGACATAGAACTTGTCTGGACACTAGCTAAATGCTTATTTTAAACGGCAAGAAATTTTTACTTTTAAAAAAACTCTGATTTTGATCTTCCAATATGGATAGCTCCAAAAAATGTAACATTTCATCTTTTAAAGAACTGTCAGAAGAAGGCTTTTCAATTAAATGCCCTTCCAGAAGGCCAAACAGTCATTTAACTCTGCAGTATTCTTAGAAGGGAATAGGATGGAAAGAATGGAATATGGAGAAATGCCCTACCTCCAAAAACACACTGAAAATTTGCAATAACTTTAGTAGAACTGTAGAACTTTCCCCACTTTCGTTGAGTTAGACAGGAGTATGTAAAGAGCTGAAAGATAACGAGTAGGAAGTATTATGTATCTGTTTCAATGTGAACTACAATTTCATGCTATCTATTTGATCTCATTTCACTCGGGCTGTTTCTTTAAATGACTAACATTAAAAAGGAAAAAAAAAAGTTGAGTGTTACTGTAATCTCACAAAAACAACACAAATATGCATCTGATTACTATTAAAACATCCACTTCTTTCTTCATTACACTGAGAAAAAAGCCAGCCCACAAGACTGGATAGCCAAGAAGCATCCGCCGCACATGCTGGTATGATAGGACACTTGAAACACACAAACTCTCTATCAGAATGATTCCCTATAACGTAAGTACAACTACCCTGCATCTAAAAATTTAACAATAAATATAATAA